CAAACGACTGGGTATAGGGAGGAGAGTCATTGAGAAAAAGATAAAAGATGAACGGGGTTTACAGAGAGTGAAAGTAAGAGAAAAGACTGGGTATAGGCAGGAGAGGCATTGAGGAAAAGATAAAAGATGAACGGGGTTTACAGAGAGTGAAAATAAGAGAAAAGACTGGGTATAGGGAGGAGAGTCATTGAGGAAAAGATAAAAGATGAACGGGGTTTACAGAGAGTGAAAATAAGAGAAAAGACTGGGTATAGCGGGGAAAGGGTTGAGGAAAGGATAAAAGATGAACGGGGTTTACAGAGAGTGAAAGTAAGAGAAAAGACTGAGTATAGGGAGGAGAGGCATTGAGGAAAGGATAAAAGATGAACGGGTTTACAGACAGTGAAAGCAAGAGAAAAGACTGGGTAGGGGAGGAGATCATTGAGGAAAGGATAAAAGATGAACAGGGTTTACAGAGAGTGAAAGTAAGAGAAAAGACTGAGTATAAGGAGAGGCATTGAGAAAAGGATAAAAGATGAACGGGGTTTATAGACAGTGAAAGTAAGAGAAAAGACTGGGTATAGGGAGGAGAGGCATTGAGGAAAGATAAAAATATGAACGGGGTTTACAGACAGTGAAAAAGTAAGAGAAAAGACTGGGTATAGGGGAGGAGAGGCATTGAGGAAAAGATAAAAAAGATGAACGGGGTTTACAGAGAGTGAAAATAAGAGAAAAGACTGGGTATAGCGGGGAAAGGGTTGAGGAAAGGATAAAAGATGAACGGGGTTTACACAGAGTGAAAGTAAGAGAAAAGACTCAGTATAGGGAGGAGAGGCATTGAGAAAAGGATAAAAGATGAACGGGGTTTACAGACAGTGAAAGTAAGAGAAAAGACTGGGTATAGGGAGGAGAGGCATTGAGGAAAAGATAAAATATGAACGGGGTTTACAGACAGTGAAAGTAAGAGAAAAGACTGGGTATAGGGAGGAGAGGCATTGAGGAAAAGATAAAAGATGAACGGGGTTTACAGAGAGTGAAAATAAGAGAAAAGACTGGGTATAGCGGGGAAAGGGTTGAGGAAAGGATAAAAGATGAACGGGGTTTACAGACAGTGAAAGTAAGAGAAAAGACTGGGTATAGGGAGGAGAGGCATTGAGGAAAAGATAAAAGATGAACGGGGTTTACAGAGAGTGAAAATAAGAGAAAAGACTGAGTATAGGGAGGAGAGGCATTGAGGAAAGGATAAAAGATGAACGGGGTTTACAGAGAGTGAAAGTAAGAGAAAAGACTGGGTATAGGGAAGGAGAGGCATTGAGGAAAGGATAAAAGATGAACGGGGTTTACAGAGAGTGAAAGTAAGAGAAAAAACTGGGTATAGGCACGATAGGCATTGAGGAAAGGATAAAAGATGAACGGGGTTTACAGAGAGTGAAAGTAAGAGAAAAGACTGGGTATAGGGAGGAGAGGCATTGAGAAAAGGATAAAAGATGAACGGGGTTTACAGAGAGTGAAAGTAAGAGAAAAGACTGGGTATAGGGAGGAGAGGCATTGAGGAAAGGATAAAAGATGAACGGGGTTTACAGAGAGTGAAAGTAAGAGAAAAGACTGGGTATAGGGAAGGAGAGGTATTGAGGAAAGGATAAAAGATGAACGGGGTTTACAGAGAGTGAAAATAAAAGAAAAGACTGGGTATAGGGGAGGAGAGGCATTGAGGAAAGGATAAAAGATGAACGGGGTTTACAGAGAGTGAAAATAAAAGAAAAGACTGGGTATAGGGAGGAGAGGCATTGAGGAAAGGATAAAAGATGAACGGGGTTTACAGAGAGTGAAAGTAAGAGAAAAGACTGGGTATAGAGAGGAGAGGCATTGAGGAAAGGATAAAAGATGAACGGGGTTTACAGAGAGTGAAAGTAAGAGAAAATACTGGGTATAGGGACCAGAGGCATTGAGGAAAGGATAAAAGATGAACGGGGTATACAGAGAGTGAAAGTAAGAGAAAAGACTGTGTATAGGGAGGAGAGGCATTGAGGAAATGATAAAAGATGAACGGGGTTTACAGAGAGTGAAAGTAAGAGAAAAAACTGGGTATAGGGACGAGAGGCATTGAGGAAAGGATAAAAGATGAACGGGGTTTACAGAGAGTGAAAGTAAGAGAAAAGACTGGGTATAGGGAGGAGAGGCATTGAGGAAAGGATAAAAGATGAACGGGGTTTACAGAGAGTGAAAGTAAGAGAAAAAACTGGGTATAGGCACGATAGGCATTGAGGAAAGGATAAAAGATGAACGGGGTTTACAGAGAGTGAAAGTAAGAGAAAAAACTGGGTATAGGGACGAGAGGCATTGAGGAAAGGATAAAAGATGAACGGGGTTTACAGAGAGTGAAAGTAAGAGAAAAGACTGAGTATAGGGAGGTGAGGCATTGAGAAAAGGATAAAAGATGAACGGGGTTTACAGACAGTGCAAGTAAGAGAAAAGACTGGGTATAGGGAGGAGAGGCATTGAGGAAAAGATAAAAGATGAACGGGGTTTACAGAGAGTGAAAGTAAGAGAAAAGACTGGGTATAGGGGGAGAGGCATTGAGGATAGGATAAAAGATGAACGGGGTTTACAGAGAGTGAAAGTAAGAGAAAAGACTGGGTATAGGGAGGAGAGGCATTGAGGAAAAGATAAAAGATGAACGGGGTTTACAGAGAGTGAAAATAAGAAAAAATGGGTATACCGGGGAGAGGGTTGAGGAAAGGATAAAAGATGAACGAGGTTTACAGTGAGTGAAAGTAAGACAAAAGACTGGGTATAGGGAGGAGAGGCATTGAGGAAACTATAAAAGATGAACGGGGTTTAAAGAGAGTGAAAATAAGAGAAAAGACTGTTTATAGCGGGGAGAGGGTTGAGGAAACTATAAAAGATGAACGGGGTTCAAATCAACCGAAGATGGCAGCTGACGTTGCATTAAAATCCCTGAAGATTGTAGTCATCAGAGAAGCAAATAAGAGGACGGGAGTTTCACTGTCGGGAAGTGCGTGAAAAGTGACTGTTGGGATAGAAGCAGCGGTTACTTTTAACTCTTTCGACAGTAAAAGGGTTGGACCTAGATGCCAACCTGGTAGCACGCTTAAATTTATGTATTCGTGGAATCAGGGAAGTCGGGAGGTCAAGTTAGGACCAATTACATTGCAGATCCTTCTTTGGATTTTGCTGAGAACCCCGAGATGAACAGCAGGGGCACCTGGCCGGATATGGCAACAATATTTGCGGATGGGAAAGCCGGCTACAAAACATCCCTTTTATTCAGTCTTATGTAAGGGGAAACTAAGTAAATATCTGATAATAGGTCATACAATACGCAAACTACTTCTGAAAAGGGTTAAGATCTCATCAAAATAGGTCACCCATCAAATAAATGCTTATAAAACCATTAAATTTATATAGACTCAGTGCTTATAAACCTAGATATAAACGACAAATCCCCGAACCTATTAAATGCATATAGAATCAATGTTTATAAACCTAAGTATAAACGACATATCCCCGAACCCATTAAATGCATATAGACTCAATGCTTATAAACCTAGATATAAACATATCCCCGAACCTATTAAATGTATATAGACTCAATGCTTATAAACCTAGTTATAAACGACATATCTCCGAACCTATTAAATACTTATAGAATCAATGCTTATAAACCTAGATATAAACGACATATCCCCGAATCCATTAAATGCTTATAGACTCAATGCTTATAAACCTAGATATAAACGACCTATCCTCGAACCCATTAAATGCATATAGACTCAATGCTTTTAAACCTAGGTATAAACGACCTATCCTCGAACCCATTAAATGCATATAGACTCAATGCTTATAAACCTAAATACAAACGACATATCCCCGAACCCATTAAATGCATATAGACTCAATGCTTATAAACTTAAATATAAACGACATATCCCCGAACCCATTAAATGCTTATAGACCCAATCCTTATAAACCTTGATATAAAAACCAATCCCTGAACCCATTAAATGCATATAGACTCAAATATAGTCCGGTGAGAAGACATATCCTTGTCTTACACCACTTTATATTTTTGTATATCTGCTGAACTCATTTTCTTTCCGTACACAGGCGGTTTGCCACCAATATAGGTTCTTGATTTAAATATCTGGGTAGTGTTTTAACATAGGATGGAAATTGCTACACTGAAATCCGAAGACGCGTTGCGATAGACAAAGATGCCTTCCAAAAGCTAAATAGAATATTAAGAGACAGAAAAACTTCGTTAGAAACAAAGAAAAGAGCTCTGAACTGTTACGCAATATCTATCCTCCTATATGGCAATGAATGCTGGAAATCTCCTCAAAAATGCAAAAGAAACTTGAAGCAACAGAATGGGGTTCCATAGAATGATGCTGAGGATACCATGGACCGAACATGTGAGCAACGACAATGTTTTAGAGAAAATGGAAGCAAAAATGAAACTTATACTTAACACCAAGAAGGGGCAGTTGAAATTTCTGGGGCATATAATGAGGAAGGATGGTTTGGAAAATCTGATACTCACAGGACAGATTGAGGGTAAGAGTGACAGAGGAAAACGACGGATAATTTACTTAATAAGCTTGAGAAAATGAATAACGTAATAAGGTTTAGGAAAAAGAACAAAAAGACAAGATTTATTAAGAGTCACAAAAGATACGAAAGTCTTAAAGGACACGCCACATAAGAAGAATAATATGTGATAATATCTTGAGTTTATTCAATGCTTGTTTTAAATTATATAATTATATTATGGGCGTCAACACATATTATCCCTTTATTCATTCAGTAGATCTTTTGTATAAGTTCCGCGTAGCGAATGTTTACTTTTACTTCTACTTTACACATGTCCACATTAATGTCTGCTCATGTGCGCATGCGTGTTAAACTCAACAGGAAGATGCCATTTGTTTTGCCAACAAATAAAGGCGTTTTAGAATGCACCATAATGCTTGCAGCATGTGGTGTGTAGAAATACTCACATTAACTTCAGTTGGCAGGTGATCGGCGAGTCTGGAAAAGAAATGGAATATATATTTAAGAACATCAAATTGTTAACGCCCAAGCTCTTATCGCCTAGATAAGTAAGTAAATATTTCTATTGAACAGAGAGGTTTATAATTTATTTACTTGTCAAAGCGAACTCAAAAGCTTGGCTTTGTTTGACCGGAGCAGATTAGATTAAATTTGTCGGTGATTTTCGACAATAAGGTCTTGTTTTCCGGTTGAAATTTTGGTTTCTTGGTTGAAATGAAAAATAATGGAGCGAAATGTTGCTTATATCTGTCAGCAGGTTATAAAATATATAAATAAAACTGTTACAGTTTAGTCACAACACTGGTATTATTATTATTATTTCCTTGTTTTTATTTTTAATACATATTTTCTTCCGGGTCCCAACCATAAACCTAAGGTCAGAAATGGCTTCATAATATTTTCGCTGATTTTTTTTTGTAAAATTTTTTTTTTAAAAAGCCTAAGATCACACACATTTTACATAGATAAAACGCTTCGTAATGTATAAGCTGTACTTGTGAATACAGCTTTTTTTTATTTTTTAAGACATGGGTTACCAGGTAGCCCTTCAATGAGTCTATCTGGACCTTTTCTAATCAATCCGAAGGATCCAACTACAACTGGAATTACCGATGTCCTCATGTGCCTTTTTTTTTTGAAATTTTAACTTAAAATATATAAATAAATAATAGACAGTAAAATAAATGATAAAATAAATATAAAATAAATATAAAATAAATATAAAATAAATAAAACTGTTACAGTTTTGTCACGACACTCTTATTATTATTTTCATTTGTTTTGATTTCTGTTGTCTATTCATTTACTTCCGGGTCCCAACCAGAGACCTAAGGTCAAAAATGGCATCATGAAATCTTCCACTGATCATTTTTTTGTAAAAAAAAATGAAAAAAAACCCCTAAAATCACACACATTTTATATAGATAATGCTGTTTGTAATGTGCGAGCTGTACTTGTCAGTACGTTTTTTTAAGGCATGGGTTACCAGGTAGGTATGGGTTACCAAGTAGCCCTTCAATGAGTCTATCTGGACCTTTCCCAATCAATCCGAAGAATCCAAATACAACTGGAATTACTGATGTCCTCATGTGTCATTTTAAAATATATAAATAAATAATAAATAATAAAATAAATAATAAAATAAATAAATAAAACTATTACAGTTTTATCACGACACTGGTATTATTATTATTATTATTATTATTATTATTATTATTTCTTTTGATTCCTGTTGTATACTCATTTTCTTCCGGTAGATCAAAACGATTAAAAAAAAAATTCCATAGCTTCTTCAGCTCCCGAGCCAGATCCTGGTATTTTCAGATTATTTGAAGTCGACTCTTGTATCACAATGGAGCAGCAAAGTCAATAATTTGACACTTGCTAGTCCCTTTATCTATGACAATAAGGTTGGGTATTCATGCTTTAATGGCATGATCTGTCTGGACTGAGAAATTTCATAATATCTTATGGCTGTCATGTTTCTCCAAAAACTGACACTTAGTAAAAAAATACATATAGCTAAATATTATTCTCATGCTGTGCAAATATCAAGTACATGCGCTAAAGACACATGAACGCGATATGATAACAGGTTTTAATAAAAGCAGCGCATAACATTGCAATTGTAACTCTGTCAGAGTGTCTCCGATTGAAATTGTTTCTAAGTTTTCAGGTGTGTCTTTCAAGTCACCTTGATAATTTACTCCTTATAACAAGTGCACACATTACTACGGGAATTACTGTAATAGTCATAGGACATAGCTTTTTTTTTTCACTTTCTTTGGAGTCCACTTTTGTATCATATGGAGCTGCAAAGTCAATAATTTGAAACTTTCTAAGTTGCTTATCTATAACAATAAGATCGGGTCTTCGTGCTGCAATGTCTGGACAGAGAAATCCCATAATATTTTGCGACTTTCATTATCCACCACTGCTTCTGGCTAATATTCATACGATTTCTTTTTCAAGTTGAAGCCAGATTCACAGCATCCTTCCCAAAGCATTATCTTACCAATCCAATCGTACCGTCGCCTATCCTCTTTCTGCGCCAGCTTGCAATCTGTGGTTATTTGTTTCATCAGCTTGACCACACATTCTGCATTTGTTTTCTTCTTGTGACGTGTCTATCTTCACCTTGATTACATTCATTATTATTATTATTATTATTGTTATTATTATTATTATTAACGCTAATGAATATTTCACGGTTTTCCTATTTTAAATTTCTGATGAATAAACAATATTGATAAATCTATAAATTCCCTATGCCTGTCGATATTTTCTCTTTTCCCTCTCCTTTAGCGAGAGAGCCTCTGGATTTTGTCTAAGGGCAGAATACAGCGGCTTCTCTTTTTTTTTTCTTTTTTTTTTTCTTTTTTTTTTTTTTTTTGAAGGGTTGGACGAGTCCTACTAACATCAGTTATGTTTATTTTTGCTTTATTTTGATATTTAGTTTGTTTTGGGGTTCACCCCTCCCCTTTCATGGTCATTCATCCGATTTGTATATATAAATTGTAAATAATATTTATCATCTCATTGGGGTGGGTTTTTTTAGCCCCCCGCCCGAGAGGAAGTGGTATTATGGTGTATGGAGGATTGATTGACGATGGATGACTTTTTATGGTGAATGAGGAAATTGTAACGGGAGATTGGGTCGTGAATCCGATTAGCTAGGTATAAGATAGTTAGTGAAGACCAGCCTCAATCCATCCCCCCTTTTCGGCCTTGTGCCATAATTGTATTAATTTACAATAAATCTCAACAATATTGATAAATTTTCCATTCTACTGAAGCCCGACATTAAACATATGAGAATATTATCGCCTGCTTTATATTCTTATTCTTTCTTTCCCTACCGCCGGGTATTGAACTCACACTCTTTGGGACCTGTCACTGAATCTAACTAACGCCTTTATCCACTGTGCAATGTGTCCTTGTTTCAATACCCGGTTAAGGCAGTGGAGAACTTTCAGAGGGGAATTAACAGGAGATAACTGATAACTGACATCCATTAAACATGGCACGTGGAACTAGAACAGTCTACCCCAGTGAGCGAAATAAAGGGTTCAGTTCGACATTCCAACCACCTGAAGAAGGCCGGAGCGTACAACGGCCGAAACGTTGTAATAAGTATGGCGACAAAGATGAGGACAATAGTCCGAATAATGTAAATAGTGTACATAATACCTCATCTCAGAAATATAGACGTACATTTTTTCCTTTATGTGCCGTGTCCATTCAGGACGTAGGTGATCGTGGCCGTTTATATCTTTCTATCTCTTTTAGCTCTTAATAAGTTTTTTGTTTTTCTTATTTCTCCCAAACCCTGTTCTGCCGTCCATTTGCTCAAGCTGTAACTCTTTTCCCTTTATCTGCCCTGTGAGTATCAGATTTTCCAAGCCTCCCTTCCTCATTATGTGCCCCAGAAATTTCAACTGTCTCTTCCTGATGTTAAGTATACGTTTCCTCTCTGTTTCTATTCTCTCCAAAACCTCGTAATATATTCGGTCCATGGTATCCTCAGCATTTAGAACTATGGCAAAAAAAATTCTTACAATCCAAACATATTTTCTGGGTTTTAAATATAACACGCAAAAGGTTGATAAGCCGTAAAAAAACAAATCAATTAATCCAACTTGTCCAATCTCAATATCAACATTTTAGGCACAGTCTAAAAGTACGCCTAATACGAAGAACACAATTCTATTCTTCGGAAGTTATATCTTTCGCATCACCCGAGCAAGATTCTAACATTGCTCCAATTTCCCTCAAAATCTATTTTACTTTTAAAAGTGCAGACACTGACGTCATCGTAGACGCAGAAATTAGTTTACATTACATGAGTGAACAAGAAAGCTGTGTAGACGAAACAATCTGCTGACTCCATTTTTGTCTTCTTCCTCAGAATAAATAAATTGTCGCTAATTTTTATATACTAGTAAAAACGTACTGTATTGACATGTCAGCTACATTTAAGTAATTTTGAAATTTCTTTGACCGAATATTCTGCATAGGTAATCTAGATTTTTTCTGTATATTTAACACTATGTAAAAAATTGTTCTGCTTCAAATCTCTAAATAAAATAAAAGCAACACACAAAAAATCACTAAATAAAATAAAAGCAGCACGCAAAAAATCTCTAAATAAAATAAATGCAACACACAAAAAATCACTAAATAAACACACAAAAAATCTCTAAATAAAATAAAAGCAACACACAAAAAATCACTAAATAAACACCAAAAAACCTCTAAATAAAATAAAAGCAACACAAAAAAATCACTAAATAAACACACAAAAAATCTCTAAATAAAATAAAAGCAACACACAAAAAAGCAAAACTGTTAAAAATGACGGCCATATGTAATTTTGAAATTTCATAGGATAAATATTTTTTAATCATCACCCCCAGCAAGGCAATAAAGCCACTAAGATGCAAGGGGTTACTATCGCTGTCATACAGGAAGACATATATTACATAACAGTCTAGTATTCTTTACTTTGTTTCTAATGAAATGTTTCTCTCTATTAATACCCTGCTTAGCTTTTGAAATGCATCATTGTCCATCCCAATATGTCTTCGGATTTCCGTCCTCTGATAGAACACTTCCAAGATTAATTTAAATTTCTGTACCTTCTTGATTTTAGTATCCCCGACCTGCAATTTGGATTTTGCTGATGACCATGCATTCTGTCTTCTTGTAGTTTATGTCGAGTCCATGCCTTTCGCTTTCCTTCGCTATCTTGTTGGCGGTTTTATAATTTCCGTGTCTATCAAGCACTGTATCATCTGCATATCTGATATAATGGAATACGCGTACACCTGTCTCCCCCCTCACTGGAATATGATTGGCTGGTGTCCGTCATAAATACCGACGGACATGTAGGTAGGATAGAGTCAAAGAGTATTAGTCTGAGAGCTAAGTCTATAACGACGCCCATTGGACTACGCCATTGATCTACACTTCCTACC